CAGAGCTTATTATGTGAATCGACGGGCAGCAAAGTATCTCTTGATTCAAATCCCTTTTCGCATTTTGGCGCGAATAGTGGCGCCACTTAAAACGCGCTACTATTCGCGCCAAAATGTGAAAAGGGATTTGAAGCAAGAGATCCTTTGCTGCCCGTCGATTCACATAATAAGCTCTTCAGAAAAAAAATTTGGACCGATTCTGTTCCCCGTATAAAAAGTCGGTTTTGCGCTAATGGTTTAGGCTCCTTTTACTTTTAAAAAAAAATAGCAGTGTGTTCATTTTGTGTTTTTATCATTTAACTTATCTAGTAGGCTGCATGGAAATAAGACGTATATATATATCAATTCTGACCCATCATACTTCAAAGATCGGCTGTTTTTATGCAGAAAACGTTTATTTTCGGAGATCAAGTTCATCTCATAGACTACAAAAAAAAAGAATGAAAACAAAACCTTTTGATATGAAAGAATTTCTTGAAAACAAAGTGTTTCTTGAAGACACTGATTTCATCATGTTTTACCCGGTTTTCTCTTCGGGACATACTGCAATCAAAGTGGATCATTCACCTCAGGCTCGTTCGAGGTTGAACAAAATTGGTACCCAGCAATTCCATTTGTACACACGCTGTCGCTTTCGCTAATTCTTCTCTACTCGTCATAGAAATTGTGCTAACGGTGTTTTGAACTTTAGAAACATTTTGATTGTTAATAAAATAGAAACGATTCATATGTCCCTCCTCTCTTACTTACTGGAACTACTGTGCTTTTATACAATTCTGCTTTGAAAAAGTTAAAAAAGTAGATATGAAATAAGTAGAAGTAAGAAATAAGTGGTTGATATAACAGAAACTGTTTTCGTCTCGTGTAAAATGAAAACAAAAACGTAGATATCTTCAACATATACACGTGGCTGTCATATAAGTCTATCTGTAAAATAAATTTAGACGACGTCTGTCGTATAACACAAAATCAAAAAATATATCGATACTTGTCTACTTGTTGTATTATATCTAACTGAGATACACGTGTATTTCATCCTATATAAATTTGAAACGAAGAAACATGTTTCGTACTCACCATGTTTGAAGCTGAACGAGTTTATATGTTACCAATAGACTTATATGACAACCACGTGTGTTGTTGAAGAAAAATGTTACAAAGAGTATGTTTGATGCCTCTATAAAAAGCGTTTATTTCTCAGTGAACCAGGTTCCTATATATATATCTTTCACACGAATGAACATGTTTTATATAATCAGATATATAGTTTTCTAACATTTTTCAACTTCAAAGAATTTATATCCATACACAGATTTATTTCTGTATATGACTTACACGACAGACACGTGTGTGATTGAAGGTCTCTATGTTCTTCTTCACATTTTAAACGAGACGAAAACAGTGTCTGTTATATAAAGTGCTTATTTCTTCTTTTATACGCGAATCTTTTACAGTTTATACCTGCTTTTTGAACTTTTTTAAAGTAGAATTAAATCATTGAAATAACTAATTCACAGAGTAAGTATGCAGAAGTTTCAGTGAGTGAGAGAATAGGAACATAAAATAAAATATAAAAATACCAATCAAAATTTTTCTATAACCGTTAACATGATTCCTGTGACGAGTAGAGAAAGAAAGAGCCTATTTACAGATAAAACTGCTGTTTTTAACCTCGAAACGAATCCGAGGTTTCACTTTGATTGCATTATGTTCCCGAAGAGAAAACCGGGTAAAACATGGTGGAATCAGTGTCTCATCTACCTTAAGAAACACTTTGCTTTTAAGATTCTTTCGTAATGAAAGTTTTTGTTTATCATTCTTTCTTTATATAAAAACCGCTGCGGAAGAATTCATCGACGCTAAGATATTGTTTGGTGGATTTTTTTGTTCCTGCGTGAAAGCATTTCAACTCTCTTTTTATATGCGCATGTCTTTGAATCTTCTTTCTCAAAAACTGATTGTAATATAAAGGTGAGAGTGCTGGATGGTCAAGGAAAGCCCGAGTAAAATGCTTATTCAAGTCTAAAAAGTTTTATTGTAAGAGAAATGCGTCCATATTGTTTTCGGTTTCTAACGTCTATAGTTGGAACAGACGATATAGTTCAGATTCGTAGCTCAGTCGAAAACGAAAAATGCTGAGCTTAAAATTCCTTCTGCCTTTTGACAAATGAAGTTAGAAAGATTGTAAGGTAGACAGGTACAAAAAGAAAAAAAGTGTAGTTTTGCTTTGTCTTAAAGATGCACGTGTATTTGTTCCTATATGCAATTTCAATATATATTTCTTTATACTTGATACAGACACATGTCACAGTGGGCATATTTGGCTAGAGCAAGCGGACATGTCCTTTTAGAGGATGAAGAGAGGTATGAAAATTATGAAAAATATCTTTTCATAGGTTATCGACCATGCTCTATTCACCTGTGAAGTCGAAATCCATTTTTGAAAACTTTTATTTTCGTGGTTTTCTGGAAAACCCTGGTTTTTGGTCAAAAATTTAAACTTTTGTGAAAAGATAGGTCAGAAAAATCACAGTTGTAGTCCTCTATACAAAAAGAGACTTTCTTTCACTAAAAAGAATTAAAACCATCACTAAAAGATACGAAAACCTCAAACTAGGCCTAAAAAGTCGGTAATCATCAATTCATAAGCTGTTTCATGCAATAATTAGAAGTTTAATTTCGAAGGAACGTTGGCCGTTGATGTTTAAATGTACATCAACGTTACTCCTCCTCACCACTGAGAGGTCTCCCTTCTTGGAGGAGGAAAATTGATCAAAGCGAGCGCATGCAAATCAATGAAATTAAAAGAACTAAAAGGAGAGACTAAAACTGAAAAGAAACTAAAATTAAGTCACTGTAAAAGAATCACTCATGCTAGAATTTGGCTCAAAAGAGCATCATCCTCGTTCACTGTTGACTGTACTTGCGTGGTACTTGTTCTTTTGCCTCTTCGCACCTGGCAATGGTCGATGATGTGCCGAAAAATCGGGTCTGACCGAATATAAAGCCGTGTGAACACATCGGTGATGTTCGGAATGTGCCCGCATTTTCTAGCCAGAAATTCGCGGTAGTTCTTTATATCCTTATTGACGATTCCAAAGCTTCTTCGCTCAATTCCTCTAGAGCAACACCATTGTACCGTTCGACGAGCTAACTTGAGTGAAATAGCAAATTGTGAACCGTTACGGTATAGTCGATCCAATTCATTTCTCTGGCAAGAAATAGAGTGAATTCTTTTGTAAGTTTCTTTAGTTCGTCGACATTGATGGATTGAGTAGACGAGACTGCTCGTAAAATTACTGAATAGGTTCGAAGTAGCCAATTGATTTTATCTCTATACTTCTTGGGTATTACATCGATAATTTTCACCTCGTAGATCATGAGAAAAGAAACGGCGCCCTTGTCCGCCCGTTGTACTTGTTCCGGTGTTCCCGCCGGAGCAGTCCACTTGATCCAACCTCAATCCTGTTTTATCCTCGATGTGCCTTAGGAGTACCTGTTTCGCCTCTTTTATTTTTTGTTGACCTTCGGCGCCCCTCACAGTCCAAACAAGAATATCTGCCACGATATGATAGAATATGCGAAGAAACCAAGCTGTTCCATTTATGTACTGGTGAGTAAGGGTAAGAAAGTGATGGTCACTGCTCGATAGCGGTTCTGTAGTCAAACCACCCCTTATTTCATAATCGTTTCTTCGCCGAATTATCTCCCCTTTCTCCTCCACCATCTCCTTATACAGTTGTTCTGTTCTTTCCGCAGGCCGAGTGATGGCAAAGTAATTATCCTCTTCAATCTTCCTTACATCTTTCCAATCTGCTTGCCGTGTATAGCACATAAAACATTTGGCCCCACCGAGACCCGATTCCACCATCCGAACTTTTAAGTCCTTCATCGAATCTTCGCTGATGATCGATATTTTAAAGCTTTGCCCGATGTGGTCAAATACAAGTCCATTTTCTCTGAGTACCTTTTCTTGTGGCTCAAATACCTCGTTAATGAAACGGATTAGATCGGGACTTTCTTTCTCCGCAATGAGAGCCATAGGCCTTGCCCAAAATGCACTATTAGGAGATTGATTTCGCCAGAAGACTTGTCCCGTAGTACAATCGGAAAGAGAAAGTGATATCACCATTTTAGAAGATATATTGGCATCTGTCATAGGATTTCGATTAGACCTATACAAACCCTGCCCGCCAGCTCCATCATGCCCTGTCTTCTGCCGATAAATTAAATCAGTGGATAGAGGAATATTCTGTTTGAGTAACTGGTCGATGAGTCTCTTCGCGGTTAGAATAATACTGTCGCCCACGTTCTCAACCATACGTCCTCTTTCTTCTCTGCATTTTTTAATAACTGGAAGTAAAGTTTGAGAATGTTCACGGATAAGGTTCCGGTTGGGAATATGAATGCCTTCGTTCAGACAACTTTTAATAAAATCCACGTCGTTTCTGCTCATATTTATGTGAATTTTCAATGCCAAAGCATGATCAACATCTAGATTCGTACGAGCGTCTTCGGATATGGTTCCTGTTTTGAATAATTCATCTCCTAGTTTAGCAAGATGCTTGTTGGTTAGATAGTTCCGTTGATGCAACAAGTAGCCGATCACTTGATTAACTTCAATGCTGTTATCCCTGGCAAACTCATCGAGTTCCGTGTTTAGATCTGCTAGTTTTCGACGCTTCTGACGTGTTCCCACTTGAGTAAAGTCCTGAGTAGGCCGTTTTGGTGGTTTCGGTTTATCACTGGGGACAGGTTCATTAACCGGAAATTCTCCCTTTAAAATAGCTGGACCTAGAAATTTTTCTTTGTGGTGAGCGAGAGAGTGGATTTTTCTCCAGTCATCGAATTTGTCCTTTTTCTTCGTGGTGAAATATTTAATTTTCGCCTGAATGAAATTGGTATTTTTCTCCGTAGATGCCAGGCCGAAAAATTCGAAAATTCGTTCTTGTGCCTGCTCCACATTTCCTTGACATTCACCATGATAAATCGTGTAGAATTCATCGATGTTCATTTCATTATAGGAAGAAGAAGAAGATGTTGTAAATGATGACGAAGCCATTTGCGAAAGACAAGACGCTAGAGCAAAAACCAGGGCTGCAGGTCGCCGTCGGCCTACAGTTAACAATCAGCCGATGCTTGGCGCCTGCAGTACCCCCTCATTCGGGCCCTGGTATCAGCATACCCGCCCAAGTATGCGCTTTTAAATTGCCCTGCAGACACCTTGACCGACGAGACCAGGGGGAACCGACGCGATGTTGCGAGGCTTGGCTAACCTCGCCGATCCGGACATCCTAGGGACTCAGTCCTATCCCGTAACACCTTGAGACACTCGGTTAGTGGGTTATTTTTCAGACCATCCTTGCCCCCCTACGCTTCTCAGTAAACCAGCTCGCGCAGACTGGGAGTCCGTTGGCAAATCAAAAATAGTAGGGAAATGGCCTCGGCTGAAGGACTAACGGCTGCACTGCACTGTGTGCAGAGCCAGAGGGGGTGATCTGTAGAAACCCTCTGAGCTAGCCGTCACAGCTGTACCTTCATCCACTTCCCTACTACTGTGTGTGTCCGTAGAATCCTGGCCATAGGCCAATCCTGATAGACGTTATTCCTGTCTCTTATACCTTAACCATAACCGAAACATCATTAACCTAGTTTAAGGTCGTCGCGGACCCGTAGTTTAACATCATTGCGGACATTTATGTCCATGCCATATATGAGAGAATTATTTTTCGAAAGGTATGATTCAATATACATTCCAGTAGATGCAGTTTTTCACGTTGATTCCGAATATGGTATTATATTTGACCAAAAGTGCTTTTATTCGGAAGAAAACGGCAAAATACCCTGAGATCCGTATGGGTTTTGAAAAATCCATCATTCGGCCTTCAAAACTATGTGAGATTTTGTGAGATCAGTATAAGCAGAGTATTGTCTGAGGAGCATGTTGACATAGTTAGATGTTATTTTCCAGTGGGGCTAACCGGGGCGTTAAGACTATAGTGAGGTAGTCTCAACGGAA